ATATGACATTGTAAGCAATGCGATATTCGTGAACGAAATTTTGCAGTATATATTGCTTGTTTGAATCGATAATACATATTATAATTGTTCGCCTACGAATCTTATAAACTGGCAATAAAATATCATCATTTTCCATATTACAAGTGAAAGGATACTTAATCTCTTCTAGGAGAGAAGAGAGATTGTAGAGAAATTTCAATAACATCTCCTTGTAAATGGATTATGATAACTATGCATGCAATCAAACTGCATTATAATTAATGTGTGAAATCGTAAATACTAGTTTAGTATATGAAATTTTAAGAATGTACATGTTAAATACTTGAAGCTTATTTTTGTCTTCCACTCGAGAATCATTCTCGTGGGGTCCTGAGCGGTAAGTTCGTGCACTGATACACAAATTGAGGTTCATGGGTGTCAAGAAATGCTTCAATGTTTTAATCATCTTCAAGATCCGCAATTTCATTAGTGACTACATTTTCTAGCCCTTAATGTTACTTAAATTGAACCACACACCCCTGGTATTTTGAGTACAAGTTTTTCACTCTAATATCACTGCTTGTTTGACTCTTTTTGTGCCACATGGTAGAAACTGGTGACATTGGGTGACCTTCACACAAATGTACCTACAATACACAAAGTCATCAATCAATTTAGAGTTATCAAATAAGATAAAATAAATATATATGTAAAAAGAAAAAACATATCTTATACCTTGATAAAATGATGATCTTCAGTTAGATAACCAATGGCAACTTCACGTAGGTCAGTATCATTCAAGGTTCTAAAAGACGCTAGACGCTAGTCAGGCGGCAAGCTGAGACCTAGCGCCTAGGCAGACTAAACGGATTTAAGTAAATCTATTATATCGTGTAAATAAGTGTCTGTTTATACTTAAAATATATATAATTTCATCATAAACTACAAAATAAAATGACATATGTACTATGAAGTATTGGACATAATGAAAATATAGGGAACAAGCATATAATGTGTGTTCATTTAAGTATTCGCAACTAGTAAGTCGCAACCTAGTCGGTACCTAGGCAGGTATGAGTGAGCTAGATGGGTGCTTATGCGGTCTAGGTAGGCGCCTCAGCAGGTCTAGACGTCCTTTCTTAATCTTCAAACGCCTAGGCATTAATCGAGATGATGGTTAACCGCTTAGCACCTAGGCGGCGCTAGGCGGAGATGTTTAGAACAGCAGTATCACTTGATTGAGATGATGACTCTAGAGAGAATAGAAGAAACATAATGCATTGTGTCATGCTCAAGTGTATCAAAACCACGTTATAACATGTAGCAATAATATGCTCCATATTTGGCATGGTCAATCAGCTATACTCTGGTGTAAAACCATCTTCAAAATAATCAAGTGCTCGCTCAATCTCCGCATACCTGTCATTCTCTACAAAACACTCCTGAAAAAGAGAAGGCATTTGACGTAGTTGATGTAGTAAATCTCTTCGTACCTTACACCATCCATTATCGATTCCCAACACCATAGATATGACTCTATATCCATAGTTTCCATTAGGATTAACATCAGTTTGACCAGTAATATATGTCCTGATAGCCTCAGGGAATTCTTCTCTATATATCCATGTCGGCAAAGGATCAATAAATTCCGGAGGTGTATAAATCTAGTATGACATAAAAAAAATAATGAAAAACAATGAACGTTAGTTTCTTCAAAGTAATGAATGAAAGCTTTATTGTATTTCAAGAGATGCTCAAATTTTTACCTACCTTAAATTGTTTACGTTGTGGCAATATATTAGTCTCTGGTGTTTGAATGTCACAACTCAGTTGATCAAAGACAATCCCGGCATTCACGATTGGTGATATGGTAGCAAGATTCATCTTTTGTTTCTTTTTTGGTAGGGTAATGACATTCTTTTTTCATTTCTTTTTTTTATGCTGCAATGACATTCTCCTTTTGCTTTTTTTTTTTCTTTGTGAACAGTGTTAACACTCGCCATTGTACTAGTAACTGGTGTTTGGCAATCAAATCCAAATTGGGCAAGTTCAGCCTCTGTAATCTCAAATGCTGATGGGAGACACCGAGTAGAATTATCTTAATCTTTTCTTTTGGAGAATTAATTGAAGTCATATTTGGGTTCATTAGCTCTTCAATTTTCATCTCAAGCTCTCTTTTCTTGTCATCATCTTGTTCTTCATACCACATTAAATCTTTCTACACTTGACTTTTCCGGAGGAGCTAGTTGTTCACTACTATTTGGCACATTGATAAAATCTAATTTTCTCCAATGCAGATGAAGAGCATCAAGTGGGATTGGCTTACCAAGCCTTCTATACTCTGCAATCTCTCGTGCACAAGGCAATTTATGAGTTTGGTGAATGGTGCAACCACAAGATACAACAATCACTCTTTCTTTTGCCAACCTGTTATTAAAAGAAGTACAATATAATTTAAGTTACCTTGAAATACAATATAGTTTAAAAGGCTAAACAATAATAATGTAAATGCAAGGCAAACCCAAACTACCTTTTGGACTCACAGACGATTAAGTTCAAGGCATAGGTAGAAACAAAACCTACTAGTCGTTGCAACTCAGGTTTCTTGAATTTGTGTTGAACAAAACATCGACTTTTTTCAAAAGATGCTTTAACCTCTGTATGATGCAACTCCAACAAGGAGTGTATATGTACCCATGATGTCTCAAAGTTAAGTTGACTGGAACGAAGTTGTCGCTTCAACTTTGCATGTGCATTTTCTGTCATGTTTATAACAATACATGAGTAAGCATAAACTATATATAGAACTGAAAAAGTAAGGAGAAATATACCTGTTTGAGGTTGTAGTACCAAGATGCATACAATTATCTATCCATGTGCCTATGAACTTATCCTTATATGGAATTAACCAATTGTTTCATATGTACTCAAGAGCACGATCATAATTATTGAACTTAGATTCCATTTCTTACAACGAACGTTGATAGTCCTCTTCTGTTTCGAACTCTCTATTAAATTTATTCCATTGCTTGTTTGACTCAAACTTTTTGTGCACTTTGACAATACTTTTTTTGTTAATATGCCATCTACACAATAAATGTTGCGCACTAGGAAATACAGACTTAATAGAATTCAAGAGTGCTAAATCTCGATCGGTGGCAATAACCCCAAGAAGATAATAGTCATGAAGCAATGTCTTTAATCTAGTCAGAGCCCAAGTGTAATTGTCTTCTTTCTCAACCTCCATATACATAAAAGCAACTAAGAATGTCATATTAGTGGATGTCACACCCATAATTTGTAAGAGCGGAAAAGCATGCAAGCATAAATGTGCCTGACATAGAATTCCTTTTATTTTCTCGGCTTAGTTTTACTAATGTTTTAAAGTCCTTGCAAAGTCTGCAAGTCTCCAAGTCCTTGCAATACTTTTACCAAGAGTAAAGTTATGTCTTTTGCTATATAGGAACATAAATTACTTGAAAGTAAAGTGATAGGTGGCACTTTATGAAATAGCTACATTGATGCCAGATGATTTTGGGGTGTAGTCAGACACCGATAGAGAAGAAAAATAAACATATAATATAAAAACAGAAGAAGCAAACATAATCCATGGTCCTTGCAATATCTGCAAGTCTTTTTAGTTTTTTGTGGTGCAGATGGATAGTGGGAAAGTAACTGCAACAATTTGCTGTTGTAGAAAGATAAACAAACTATGCGGGATTGATTAAAAAAAAAAAAAATTAAAACCAAAATACTCATCTTCCAAATCTAAAAAATTGAATTCAAACGAACAAAAAATTCATAAATTGAGTCATACCTTGGTTGGAGGATTCAAAACTTCAAAATCACCATCCATCAATAAAAAATAAAAATAAAACTTGTTTTTCTCTATAAGAGCTATTAGGGTTTTAGCCGGAATGAACGTAGGATAAACAAAGAGTGATTGTAGGGTTTAATTATAGTGTTTGGGTTTATTGATGAATTTGAGTTTTATTATTAATTTCATTTTGTACTTAATAATAATTATGCAATAGGGTAAAATAGACAATTAATATTTAAAATTTAAGTTGGATGTAAAAAGAGATTACATGGGTTTAAATAAAATTTCTCATTCCATATTCTTGGTTCATTTGCATATTTTAAACTTTATTAAGACCAAGAAATCCATATTACTCTACATAAGTTTCATTTTCTATCACATAAAATATATAAAATTTGACATGTCATCAAACTTCAAAATTCAGTATAATTACTGTACATATTCCCCCTTAAGAGGATGTGCTTATTCATCCACTTACAAATAATGTATATTCGACGTTGAAATTTCATAATCGGAACCGTTCAATCTCTTAATATTTATTAGAAGATCTTCCCTACAAAATATCATTTGAATCGGTGATCGTTTAGTCATCCAAATGTATCAAATAAAGCAATAATAAATCAGTGGTTCGTCATGAGTATGTTATTTGGTACTTACATTATTGTTGGTTTATTTGATACATTGGATGATTAAATTATCACCGATTCCAAAAATCTTTGTCAAGGGGGTTTTCAAATGAAATTTAAGAGATTGATCAGTTCCAATTATAAAACTTTACCTTATTCACAAGTGAGAGATTGAGCTCATTTCTAAAAAAAAAAATCCATCCAAATATCAAGAGGTTGAAGGCTCCACCAAACTTCTAATTCGATATCCTTATCTAGTTATCAGCCAATAAGACTACTACACTTGTAAAACAAATGATAAAAAAGTATCCGATTTGGTTATAGACCGTTTGATTGTCTGCTGTTCAAAATAAAGGGTTTTGATCCTGAGTGCAGCATAGAGTTGGGCCCGATGTATATTTAAGCAGTTGTTCATCCGATACCAATACGCAACCCAAATTAAGTATTTGTTACCTAATCAAATTTCCTAATAAATAAATGGACAAATTTGTTCAACTAACACCATTTTTTAATTGTTCATATTCAGTAGAAATCCATCTCTCATTCCAAACTCAAACATGCATCCAATTCCAATCTAAAAGAAAGCACAACAACACACACATATATTTAAGAAGGATTGTAACATACAAAGGCAGCCACAACTCACAAGCCACAAAGCAAATCAGAAACCCTAGCTAGCTAGCTCTCCCTAGCTAGAAGATCATGGATTTGCAGATCAAATGGCAATCTTATTATTTTACAATAACCTAACACTTCAGCTTTTACAGTCTTTTCTTATTTATAGAGACCCCATGCATGGCGGCTTTTGATCATTTTTGCCAGCCGCATGAACTGTAGCGGCAGTTTGCTCCGTATTTGCAGCCATTCTCTGCTCCATAGTTCCTCTCAGACCCCTCATAGAACCTGCAATAATATTCCATTTTCAAACTAATTAACCAATTATATTTCCAGCATATATATCATGCAAAAACAGATTTTTGAAGAAGTCACGAAAACTTACATCTTCACTGGTGCAACCCCAGTAATGATGGTCTCAGTAGAAGCAGTCTCTAAGTAACCCAAATCAGGGTACGCACAGCTAAATATGTACACATAACAGAAAAAATATATTAAGAAAAACATAAAAGAAATTCATTCATGTATAAAAGAAGGAATTTAAGGCCACAAAATTGATGTATTTATAATCATTGGTAAGAATATAGAACAGTAAATTACTTGCAGCCTTTGCCACAGGAGCAGTTGGAGCCACAGCTACAGTTCGGATTATCGCAACCAGACATTTTTTTGGGAAAAATTGGCGAGTGATAAGAGAAGATTAATCTAATGCTGGTAGCTGAATTTCACTCCACCAAAGATGGGTTCTCTGGTGAGGGCCTTCACTGGTATTTATACTGCAGTTCAAGATGAAGTGGTGAAGATCCACCGTGGCTGAAAATTAGATACATCATCAAGCATTATCTTGTACTGATAAAAAAAAAATGATTTTAGAACTTGTACTATCATGGTAAAACTTAATTCATTAAAATTTTGGAATATGCCACTTAAAACTACAATTTAGTGGTATTTTTCTTCTAAGTGAGATCTAGGTTGAAATTTTGTGGATATCAAGTTAAAAACTAATTTATATCTCCACTTCTTATTGTAAATATATCGTTTGTATAAATAGAAAAAATTGAAAGTATGAGAGTTTAGAGTTTACAATAAATGAGATATCAATTCTTTCTTACTAATATTATAACATACAGATGATTAATACTAACATAACGGTGTAAATATGACACTAAAAAGATTTCTGCACACTCTGAAATATGGAGTGCTTGCTGGTTAGAGATAAGGGAAAACCTTTGCATAGGTTATAAATTACATTACTTTATGTTTAGATTTCTTACAGTTATTGGTATTATTTTGCATAGAATTTTTTTTTTTTTAATTACGGAAATAAACATCATGTATATTGTAAACCAAGTACGATCGACAAATATTCTTGTACTGCATTTGAGGAAAGAAAAAGATTATCTGTACTACACATTTTATGTAGAGTTGTCATTGGGCTTATGCAAAAGATAGTGAATGAGACCCTTATTAACACAATCGTGAAAATAAAATATTTATAATTTCTGAAAATTAACTTCTAATTAGTTAGTAAAGTAGGGAAATTTTATTTGAACCCTTATAACCTCTTTTTACAACCAACTTACTCTCCACACCCATATTATTTTTAACTAAAATACTAATATTTCTTTAAACCCAAGTTTACTACCTAGCCTACCGTCGCAAACTCAATTCAACATGTAAATTTTTTTTTACACCCATTTAGAAAATAAAATTCCAATTGAATAATTTTTATTAATGAACTAATATCTATTTAATCAAATTCCATAAGCATAAAATCGTATGGCCTGCTTTCGTTAATGTAATACAGTATTACGTCGTAATTGATGTAGTACAACATTATTCTGTGTAGAAATTAATAGAATTTCTTAAGATGATGTGCCCCATTGCTCGAGCTGCAGCGTACATCACTATGGCTCCCATGGCTATTGTTGCTAGCTAATTTGTTTGTATTTTGATGTCTCTTTGTTGTGGTACCTGCTGCCTCCTAGTCAGCCAATTTTCAATTATTCCATGATCTAAGGTAAGTGGTAGCAAACAACATGCTCATTTACTTTCGCAAGTTCTAGCAAACCCATATTTCTTTAGGTTAGCCCTAGATTTTCAACCACGCTAATGGAGTGGATTCGAGGAAACCAAATGGCTTCGCCACCATTTACACTATGAAACACAATAACGCATCTTTTCAACTTTCAGCATTTGACCAAAAAAACAAAAAAAAAACTTTCAGCGTTGATGGTTGTGAATTGAAACTTAAAATCGATCTTCTCAACTCCAAAAAAATTGAAATCAAACGAAAAAAAGTTGCATAAATCAATTCATACCTAAGTTGAAGGATTTAAAACTTCAAAATCACCATCCATTGATTAAAAAAAATTTAAAAATAAAAGCTTGTTTTCTCTATAAAAGCTCTTAGGATTTTAGCCGGGATGAACATAGGATAAACATTGCGTGAAACTAGGGCTTAATTATTGCATGTGGGTTTATTGATAAATTTTAGTTTTATTGTTGATCTTATTGTGTACTTGATGCTAATAATGCAATAGGATAAGAAAGAAAATTCACATTTAAAGTTTAAGTTAGGTGTAGAAAAAAATTATATGGATTCAAATAAAATTTCTTTTTAGAGTATCTCTGATAGGACTTTATTTTGGGATCTCCACTACCACTCGACTCTTGAGAACTCTTTTAAGGGCTTCAAAGGAATATCCGGTTCCTGTAATAATTAATATTAACTCCAAGGGAGGGTCCTTATAGTATGAATCTTAAACTTAGGGACTAAAAGATCAAGAAAACCATTGTTAGCAAAACAATCGTTGATCTAAATAGTGTAGTTATATGTATTGTTGGCTTAAAACAAAAAAATAATAATTGCAGGACTCGCGCCTAATGCTGTGTTAGTAGTTGTCTGGAGATTGTGAGTTGTTTGCGCGTGTATGAGCCACGGGTCGTGTAACTCCACATTGTGGGGACCATTCCCACTCAAAAAGCAATCTTGGTCCCACCCCTTTTAGTCCCTACATAGTCCTTAATTGTGGAAAATTTTTGGAGCTCTCATCAGTCTCTCTACCATAAGGACTAGACCTCGGCCCAATTAGAAGCCACCAAGTTTTTAAACTTAACACTATGCGGTGGTAGGGACAATGTTAGGGCACCACTGAAGATGCTCTTAAAACATCTCCAATGCTACTAACTACAAATTTGTTAACTTAGCAGAAATTCTTTTCATAATGCTAGAAAAGGTCATAGTTAGAATCTACCTTCCTAAATTGAGAAGAAAAAAAAAAACTATAGAAAATTATTGGCATCTTAAAATTTATTGACCACTCTTCATTTAATCACATAATAAAAACGATTCACATTTACTTTTAAATTAAGGAATTATCTTAAGTGTGACATCCCACATCGCCCAGGGGTGATCCTTAAATGTATATTCCTATCCCTACCTAGCACGAGGCCTTTTGGGAGCTCACTGGCTTCGGGTTCCGTAGGAACTCCGAAGTTAAGCGAGAAGGGGGCTTGAGCAATCCCATGATGGGTGACCCACTGGGAAGTTGCTCGTGAGTTCCCAAAAACAAAACCGTGAGGGAATGGTAAGCCCAAAGCGGACAATATCGTGCTACGGTAGTGGAAGCGGGCCCGGGAAGTAATCCGCCCCGGGTCGGGATGTGACATTTGGTATCAGAGCCTAACCCTGGTCGTGGTGTGCCGACGAGGACGTCGGGCCCCTAAGGGGGGTGGATTGTGACATCCCACATCGCCCAAGGGTGATCCTTAAATGTATATTCCTATCCCTACCTAGCACGAGGCCTTTTGGGAGCTCACTGGCTTCGGGTTCCGTAGGAACTCCGAAGTTAAGCGAGAAGGGGGCTTGAGCAATCCCATGATAGGTGACCCACTGGGAAGTTGCTCGTGAGTTCCCAAAAACAAAACCGTGAGGGAATGGTAAGCCCAAAGCGGACAATATCGTGCTACGGTAGTGGAAGCGGGCCCGGGAAGTAATCTGCCCCGGGTCGGGATGTGACATTAAGACACTCGACTTTTTTTTTAAAAAATGAAATTATTTACATTAAAGGGAAAGGCTGGTAGACTTAGCCTCACACTGAACTAGCAATAATGTGGTTCAAATTCGCCTTTGGCGATAATCAAACATAAAACCTATGACTTACAAATGAAGAAAAATATCACTAAAATGTAGTACTAAGTGGCAAGACACTTGCTTTACATAGTCAAACTTTCACACCAACACTCTTGACATAACACCGTTTAGTGGGAATCAACTAAAAATTTGAACCATCAGCAGTTGTACTCTGCAATATTGTAACATGTTGACATACAATGATTACATATACCTTGTATTTTCAATAAAAATTACTAAATTAATTTCAAATGTTTAGTTGTTATGGACTGAAACTATAGATATACGGCAGTAGAGTTCAGCCAAATATCTAGACGTGACATATATTTTGTATTTTTAGTAAGGACTATTGAAACTATAGACATATTTTTGGTACATCTCCGCCGAAATATATTTATGTTTTCGGTTGATGGCTACCGAAAAACTTGTCGTGGTATACAGTTTGACCCATAATATGACATCGTTAAAATTGGTGCAAAATGAAGGAGAAAAAAAAAAATTAGGGCCTAAATAGTCATTTGCATTATAAATATAACATATAATCAAAACAGTCTTTAAAATTTCTTCGATATCGTGGATATTTATGTGAAAATATCTAAAAATATATCAAAAGATGGTGAAGTCTAAACTTCACCTCATACCGGAGAAACTCTTTAAGTTTAGGCTAAAATCGACATATTTTGTCGATATTTCCTACATATCGTTTAAATATCGAAGAAACTTTTATATTTCGTCCAAATCACTGTTTGACATTCCCTAAATTTTTGAATTTCCATCAAAATTAACCGATATCAATATCGATATTCTATCTGTCAATATTTTCCCAAATTTGTATATTAATATTTTTACGCAAATCGATATTTTAAAAACTGCATACAAGTCATTCACTATTAAAATTTTATATCAGGCCTGTTTAACAAATTGTGGAGTATAAAACAACAAATTTGGATCATCTCCTGAGCCCAAGGATAGGATCCTCTTGACCAAGCAGTGTGGGCTGTTGGATTTTTATCCAACGACTACAAACAGGGGATCCCTTTAAAGTTATATTAATTATAGCCGTTGAATGAAAATTCAAGGGCTCACACTGCTTGGTCAGAAGGATCGTCTTCTTGAGCTCAGAAGAGGATCCAAATCCTAAAACAACCTAAAGAAACTATTAAATTTAAGATAAACCCATATGCAAGTATTGACCACAATAAAATGGATCAAGAAGAGAGATGAGCCAAAGCCCATTAAAGCCCAAGGATGTAAGGGTTCTGATGCCATTCGCCGGTGCGTGTTTTCTTTCCACTTTGGTTTGGCCCAAGTATCTTTTATCTCCCTTACATCACTTGCAAAAGTAGCATACGTCCCCTTTTTTAAGTTCTGGCTTTGGTTGCCGGCCGATCACTCTTCATTTTCGATGTCAAAGTTAGAACTTTATCTCAAGTGATGATAAAAATGGATTCAATACAAGAGTTTTAGCCAAATGGTGGATTTTCCAAGTGAATAAATACATCCCTAATAGGCCCTTTGTCATTTCCATCTCAACATGTTTGTGGATCACACACTTGATATCACTATAGTTGTTGATAGCTAGCAAGGGGATGCCTAAATAGACAGATCGATCCTTCTAGTGTTTTGGTTGTCACCAAAATGTTTTTACAATTGGTACTACTAGACGGTGTCTCTGTTGTTTTACACCTGCTACCCATTTAAATAATTACTCTCTTAAACAAATCTTGAGATTGCCTACGAAACTTGATTGTAAGATAGTCCAAAACGTAGTTATAATTTTAGCCACTAGGTTAGCCTAATTAAGTTCAAGGTTCGAAGTCTTCTAATATTATAAAAAAATAATAGTTATTTTTTTGTTTTGATTAAACAATAGATTTATTACATTAGATGTTAAATTAGAGAGTCGACGGGGTTCGAACCCTTACGGTGGTGCAAGGGCAACACACATCTCCACTACTGTGGTGGATGGCCACTTGCATAAAATATAATAATAGTTATAAAGTATAAAATTATACAAAGAAAGAATTCAAGCTTCTAATTAGTCAGTTATATGAATTGAATTAATCAATTAAATGAGTTGAATTAATCAATTATATGAGTTGAATTAATTCGAATTAATCAATTAAATGGTAAAATATTTTGTGAATCCAATTCTGATCACATCAGGGAAAAGTAAGAAGATAGGAACATGACCATACTACGGTCATGCATAGAGGCAGATTGTCTGCTCTCCTAATATGGTGCTCTCTCAATGTCCTCCTATTTTGTGCGATCACGGTTAAGCCACGTCAATATAAAACTTAATATGGTGCCCTCCCCATGCCTTCATATTCTATGCGGTCAAGGTTAAGCCACGTCAATATTTTTATATTCACTTAGTTTAACCGTGACCGCACAAAATAAGTGAGCATAAGGAAGACACCATATTAGGAGGGCAGACAATCTGCCTCCGTCATGCACACTGCCTAATAGTATTAGTGGCTTATCAATTAACAGATCAAAGGTCAACTTAAAGGAGCTTTAATTGTTGATAGGGAAATGTTTTTTATTCCCATTATTTGGCTTCTTTAATTTGTATTATATTATTTATTTTTATCACTTGATTTTTATTTTGTTTTATTCGATGTAAATACCCAAAATAAATAAGAACGTGTATAAAGAGATAAACGGTCATTTTCCTCATTCATCCTACTGCAATCTTATCAACCATTTTCAAACCCAAACGAAACACCCATCAAACTGAAATCACCAGAAAGTAGAACAAACACGGAAATATGAAGAAGAAGGATACAAAGGTAGACACAAGCCACAAAGCAAATCCCAAATCCTTGCTAGCTTACTAGGAGATTCATGGGTTTCCAAATCCCATGAACAATCTTATTTTACAATATTCCAACTCTTACACTCTTTTCTTATTTATGGAGACCATCACAGCTTTTTCTTTGAGTCTTGACTTCGGCTTGCTTCGATCATTTGTGGCACCCGCATGAGGTGCAGCTGCAGTTTGAGCCACACTTGCAGTCGTTCTCTGCTCCATAGTTCATCTCAGGCCCCTCGTAGAACCTGCAAAGTATTTCATGAAATTAAAACAAGATTTTTTGATACACCAATATTGGAAGTTAGGCTAAGTTACACAATATTCTTATAAATCGTACTTAAAGGTCTCTCGCATACAAGTGAGCAGAAATACTAATAGATCATAGTGCTACTCGCGAAACAGAGATCTTAAGAGTTTATATAAGCTTACATCTTCGCTGGTGCAACCCCAGCAATGATAGTCTCAGTGGAAGTGGTCTCTGAGTAACTCAAGTCAGGGTACATGCCACATCTACACATATATACAAAGAGAAATCAATATTTTTAGGAAACAATGAACAAAGTAATTAACTCCTAATTAAGAATATAATTAGATGTTATGGAGAATCATGATAGCATAAATGGCTATTGGAATGGAAGAATTACTTGCAGCCACTGCCGCACTTGCAGTCGCTACCACAGCTACAATTGCAAGACATTTTTTTCAAAAGTTAGCAAGACTACTAAAAGAACAAGGAGAAGAAGTTGTATTGTTGGGAATTGAATTCACTCAAAGCCTGGGATGGGTTTTATTGTGAGGGTCTCAACTGCTATTTATAGTGGAGTTGAAGGTTAAAGTCGTTGAGATCCACCGTGCACGTGGATCAATCCTAGGCATCTATCAGAATTATTAAAATTAATAGAGATTAAATGCCCTGGTTAACAATCCATTTATTCAAATTAGAAATTCTTTTGGGTGTGACTGGCTAGAACTTTGACATGTGATGTGATGTGATGTTACTAAATAGGCTTGTAATAAGGGTAGAAACCTAATGAATTTGCCCAAGATCATACCTATTTTTTGGGTTATGGTTGGCTCGACTTAGCCTTAAGGTTAGTTTGGTATTGTTGTGCTTTGAAAAAAAAAAAACTGCTTCTGCTGTGCTGTGAGAATAAGCTCATTTTTGTTGCTTCACGTTTTCAGCTTTTTTTCACCTAAAACTGTGAAAATAAGCTGTTTTTAAGTGTTTACCAAACACCTTTTTGAGCTCAGCTTTTTTTTATACCCACTTTTTATAAAAGCACATCAGTACCAAACCAGTACTAAGCTCATTTTCGCTGCTTTACGTTTTCAGCTTTTTTTTCACCCAAAACTGTGAAAATAAGCTGTTTTTAAGTGTTTACCAAACACCTTTTTGAGATCAGCTTTTTTTTTTTATACCCACTTTTTATAAAAGCACCTCAGTACTAAACCAATACTTAGGCCATCCCTAATGGAGATAGCTATAAGGTCATAGACCATTTTTTTGTCTGTGTTGGTAAAAAACTAAACTTCAATGGAAGATAGACAAAAATGTGTGGAACCCACCAGGCTATATAATGGCCTTTTGGCTATCGGGCTGGCTACTTTCAACTACCATCTAAGCCCATTGGTTGGAATAAGAATTTTCTTCGGATCCTCTTTGTAAGGATTTCAATGATCTGTGTATTATGTCTGTTTATCGTATATCGTGCGATTAGAAACTATTTTAAATTATTTTAAATTGTGAGGGTCTCAATTGCTATATATAATCGAGTTGAAGGTTAAGGTCGTTGAGATCCACCGTACACGTGGATCAATCCTAGACATCTATCAGACCTATTAAGGTTAATAGAGATTACGTGCCCTGGTTTACAATCCATATATTCAAATTGGAAATTCTTTATGGTGTGACTGGCTAGAACGGTGACATGTAATGTTACTAAATAGGCTTGTTAAAAGAGCAGAAATCTAATGGATTCGCTCGAGATCAGACCTATTTTTCTGGTTATGGTTGGCTCGACTTGGCCTTAAGCCATCTCCAATGGAGATGGTTAAAAGGTCATAGACCACTTTTAAGCATGTTCTGGTAAAAAACCAAACACTAATTGAAGGCTAGGCCAAAAATGTGTGGAACTCATCAGGTTAAATTATGACCTTTTCGCTATATGGCTATCTACTTCCAACCAACTTTTTTTTTTTTTTTTTTTTTTTTCAGATGAAACTAAAAATATATATATAATTTTTTCCTATAAATACCTATAGCATTTCTACACCATTTCTCACATTTTTTTTCACCCTTACATACTATCTTACCTCATTTTTTTTTCTAGTTTTTCACATTCTATTCACTTCAAACATTCTTTTCATACACACTACTATCTTAATCTCTAGTTGTTAACATGCAAGTAATATTAAAATATTTAATAAAATATGTAACAATACCAGCATGAAACTTAAACAATATGTAACAATACCAACATGTAACAGTACTAATAAGTTAAAGAACAAACTTAAAAATAATAAATTAATTTGGGGCTATGTTTAGCCCCTTTCGTTTGGAGATGATATATAAATATAGTCTAACACTGTTCATTGAAAAATAATATTTTGTAAGGCTACAATTTTGGACTGAGTTATACTTAGCCCCTTCGGTTAGAATTGGCCTTAGAATCGAGCTTTATCTTCCTAGGCCCGATTTTTAGGCCGACACAATATGGCTTGATGTAATTTAAATACTTTTGAACTTTCTTTAATATAATTAACTTGTTTTTCCAATACTAATATAATTTTTTTTAACAAATGATATTATCTACACCAAAGGAGATAAGGTGGGCATAAACTCACAATAAGCTAGCAATAATATGGTTCAAATTCATCTTCAACAATAATTGAACCTAAGACCTCTCACTTACAAGTGAAGAAGAATATCACTAGACCATAATACTAAGGGCTCGTTTGGTATTGCTGTGCTTTGAAAGAAAGTTGCTTCTGCTGTGCTGTGAGAATAAGCAGCTGTGAAATAAAGCAGCATAATGTTTGGTAAACTTTTTGTAAAAGTGCTTTTGAAAAAAAAAAAAAAAGCAGTATTATAGTGTTTGGTATGCTTTTATGTAAAACAGATGTGAACAAAAGTTGGTTTTTCAAAGATGGGTTTTGCAGCTTCTTGTTTTTGGCTTTTTTCCACCCAAAATTGTGAAAAAAAAAGCTGAAGCTGAATGTTTACCAAACACAAAAACACCTCCCAACTTTTTCTGATACCAGCTTTTTTCAGAATCACCTCAGTACCAAACCAGGCCTAAGTGGCATGATATAATTTAATTGACTATATTAACCAAACAAATACCTAAATTGAAATGGTAATTGACAACTAATAAAAATAAAAGGTCTTAGGTTCAATTCTCAATATTTCACCCACTATATGTGACGATCTGTCCCGAATTATTATATATTTTTATCTCCGAGTATGTAAAGTGACGATAATGTCCTTGTGGTCTTGTGATGTGGATGTACATATGCAATTTTAAATTAATTTTCTCACTGACGTAATTAAATTGTACTCGACGTCACGAGTGTGTTGACGAGAGTTAAGGTTGAACCGGTTCCTTAACGAAAATGTTACGACGATTTAAGATCGAGATTGGATGGAATTATATTTTTGGGCTGTTTTATTTCCTTTGGACCAATTATTTAGGCCCTAAATCCCATAGCCCAATCAGGGCTTGTGACCCCTTTTATTTTGGCCAACTCGTGACCACACACGCACACACATGCACGCGTATGCATGTTTCCCTTCTCTCTCTCACCTTTGCTCGATTCTTCTCCCCATCCATATAACCCGTAAATCACCCACGTAGAAGCCCATCAAAACCTCATAGATCAAGCAAGAGGATAACACCCTCGTGCTCCTCTCAACTTCACAAACCTGGTGGTGTCCCTTGCTCGAAGAAAGGACATGTAGAACTCGAGAAACCAGAGCTCCGGCGAGGGGTCCAATTTCCTCCGACGTGATCGCGAAAGATTTATTTGGTTTTGAGATTCAAGAAGGTACTCATCTAATTTCCCTAGCATTTTGGAACAATTTTGGAGTGGTTTGAACGTCAGAACACTTAGGGTGGTGAAGTTGCAGCTTTAGCCGATTTTTCCAAGCTTTATCCCGACCATTTTCCGTCGTTTTTAGGGCCTCAAATAGGTATGGTTGTGTTCTATTCTTCAAGAGCTTCAAATCCATATAAAATTCATGGATTTTGGTTGAAAAATGAAGAAGATATTGAAGTTTGAAATTTTTCCAAAATCTGGCATAACAGATGGCAGCTGGAGGCGGCTCTAGCGGAGCCCAATGGAGAAGGAGGAGAATATTCCATCAACTTTGACAGAATATACTGACGGCATCAGGTAACTCCGTTAGTTTTAAAACAGAATATTCACTAACGCCGTTAGGGATTCCATCAGTGTGCCAGACACGTGCCTGCGCGTGGCCGGCGTATGTGGCCATACCTTGGCTTGCATGTGAGGGGGCGTGTGACGTCCAAAATTTTTTCTAAAAATATAGGGGTGTTTGTGTTGTTGAGTAAATTACGTTGGTATATTCAAGCACCTCATTTAAGCAACATATGAGGAATTAAACCTAAGTTTGTTAATGTGCTATCGAATTAACGTTAAATTAGTTATTTCGCATATAGGTGAGACGTACCATGTACGGCTGAATCTATAGCTCATCAAGTATGCCTGCACACGAGTCGGAACCACCTATTGTGGTCTGTACGATAAAGCATAGTCCTTCACGTGATGTTCACTTCCCACACCGCACGCTCACCTTGGATCCAAGTTTGATGCACAGCCCTGTCGTATAGACCACGATAGGTAGTTTCGACTCGTAGGTGACCTGCGATTATTCGCACAGCCTTCACGTGATCGTAGCACTTAAGCATACTTTTCTACACCCAACCCTGTCATATAGACCATAATAGGTGGTTCTGATTCGTGTGCAGGCATACTTGATGAGCTATAGATTCAGCCGTACAGGTCACATTAAGTGACTCCGGCTGGTATACTATTTTACATTGATTCGTATCACCTGGCTTACACATTTTATGGTTGAACATTTTGACATGGCATACCTCTATTTTCACTGCTTCTAAGCACTGTTTTTATATACTTACATGTTATTATTTTCTGGGAAATTATACGGGTTTTACAGTGAGAGGTTAGTATGTTCATAAGGACAACTGCGTTTTCAAAAGCTTTGTTTTTGCCCACTCACGTTTTCTGTTTTACGCTCCTCCAGGTTCTAGGTAGCTAATAATCCTTGGTGGCCCACGAGAACGTCACGGCGGTTCTAACATCTCTATAAATAAGTAGAGATCTTTTCCCTGTTTGTATAATTAGCACTTAGTTGGTTTGACTGCACTATTGGATTGCCTATGCTCTAAATATTGGTATTTGGTACTTGATCACTTTCACACACTTATCTATTATCACTAGTTAAATTAGCTTAGGGTTTTTATTTATTCGCATTTACTTATTACTATCATCACTTTTGTTGTACACTTGGGTACGTCACCCTTACGTGATGGTCAGTACATCTTAACTTCAATCGGGGTGTGTCACTATAGAAATAAATTTCTTCTGTATATAAATTTGTCACGTTTCAAAATAACTCTAAACTGATGACGATCAATTAGTAGCACTCAATTTCTATATTGATAATTAATAATAATTATTTCAACCTAGTGGCACTCAATTTCTACCTTGATAATGATTAATTTTTTTTAGTGGCACTCCACTTTTATTATTTTCAAAAAGAGGTTTAATGTTCAAATATGATAACATAAGCACATAAACAATAGTTTAAAATTAGAAAGACTTTTTTTTTTTTTTAAATAAACGATATTATCTACACTAAAAGGGTTGAGGAGTGTACTAAACCTCACACTGGGCTAGCCATAATAATGTGGCTCAAATAGGAATACAATTAGGGTGTAGAAAATTAAGAATCTTATTTCTTATCATTCATGTGCATCACTCACATTAATTCCTTTTTTTTTATTATTTGGGAATAAAAACTTGGGGTCCTGAAGGATATATTGAGGAACTTTTCTTGAAAATATTCTCAACTTAATTCTCTCAATTTATTATTTGGAAAGAAAGAATTGGCTCCTTAAGGATTGAGGAGAACTTCTCATTAAAATATATCATGGCATATTTACAATACTCTATGCTTTTACCGAATTTATTTGTATGTTTTTATACAATTCGATAACTAAACAATTTTAATTTTAATTGATTTTTTTGCAAGGGAATTGTTATTAGCACTTCAAAATCTTATTTGACACTCCGAACTTTCTATAATTAGAAAGAAAAATACACTTGAGAGGAGTATAGAATGAGATTTTTGGAGTGTTAATAACAGTTCTTTTTTACAAATATAATCTTTAAATAATGATTATAATATGAACAATTTCGATAATTAATATAAAATTATGTAAATAGGTCACAAAGTATTTTTTAATAAAAACTCTTTTTTAGACTTAAGGAGTCAACCTATTCTTGAGTTTCATTTGATTGGTGGAGTGGGCCAAAGTAGTTCATTTCTTCCTACCACACGGCACCTGCACAACCAGGTCACGTTTTAAGTGATGATGGCTGTTGCCAGCCGACGGTTCTTCGATGCCTATATTAGAATTCTATTTCAAGAAATGTATGGGTTTTTTCCGGTAGACAAACATATATGAGTCCAATATGTTCTTGTTTTGGCCAAGACTTCAACTCAAGGTAATAAATCAACCCTCCATGGGTGGTACGTACCAACAGAGGGGATGTTGAGGGTGTCCAAAAGGTACAGTGGCACAAGACTGAATTTTTGAGAGGTCCCATAATTTTTCATCTTTCTATATAAATATATATGAGTATTAATTTCTAATAAAAAAATTTTAACTGAAAAGAAAAATCATCATTGTATGATTTTACAATTGATTAAGTGGAGTTTATACTTAATATATTAATTTTTTACTCTTCTCTAGCAATAAAAAACTTGTGTATTACTTTCTTCTATTTTTTTATGAAATTTGCATAGGCTTCCAAACTGTCAGAGACGGCCCTGCCTACCAGCTCCCTTTACCTGCTGACCTCGTGTAGGCATCTGAGAGAGATTGATTATGAAGATGAGGAGGGCACACCAAATGACGATGGATTACACAGTCGGGGATAGCGGCAAATGGTAGAGGACGTGGTTTCGGAGGCAGCTACTCAAGGTGGCTGCGGTCGTGGCCATGGGAGGGGAGGATGGAGGATACAAGGAAGAAGCACCTCATGCTCAAGGTGGCCGCGGTCGTTGCCATGGGAGGGGGAGGATATGGACGTGGCTGTAGGTGGAACATCATACAAAAATGGCCAGTGTCTAGTAATGAACGCCTTATATTATCACAGATCCATGTTTCCGTTTTCCCATGAATTATGCCGTTTATTATTATCCCCGTTACGGAAAACTACTAGTTTTAACTCTAAGACATGATCATAGTAGATTTAGTTTAGAGCTCCAAGATGGAAGTAAATCTCTTGTTTTGTCGCGTAGATTACGTGCGATGTTTGAATAGATGAAATTAATCATGCCTTTAATTAATCAATTATATGACTCTTGGAATGAATTAATTATATGGTTTATCTCTTGTGTTTCCCTTTTTTTTTGGGGTCGAATATCCCTGGTGTTTCTAAATTCCAAATCTGGTTATATCAGATAAAAAGTCAGAAGATAGGAACATGACCTAATAGTTGGTGGCTTATAAAATATGGATTAAAGGTCAACTCAAAGGAGATCTCAATTGTCCATATCCACTACAATTTTATCTTTCATTTCCAAACCCAAACACACATCAAAGTAAAACCCACAAGAAATTTAAGCTAAAGAAACACATAAATTAAGAAAGATGTAACATACAGATAATTAAGCTAGCCACAAAGCAAATCCCAAACCCTAGCTAGCTAGAGATTCATGGATTTGCAAATCTCATGGCTAATTTTATTTTACAGTAAGTTCTAAAACCCAGCTTTTACAGTCTTTTTCTTATTTATAGAGACCATAACAGCTTTCTTCTTTGAGTTTAGATCATGGCTTGCTTCGATCATTTGTGGCAGCCGCATGAGCTGCAGCTGCAGTTTGAGCCACACTTGCAGTCATTCTCTGCTCCATAGCTCATCTCAGACCCCTCAGAGAACCTGCAATAATAATGATAATATAGTGAATATCATTTTTTTTAGAACCCCTAAAAAGTGATTCGGCACTCCTTGAAGAGTAAATTCTCTATATATTTCTATGTGATTAGAGTAGAGAATGACATTTTTTAAATGCTAATAAGTACTTTTACAGTACGCTTTAAACCTATTTTTGGAATACATTTAATTAACCTTAGTTAATAAAACAGTCCTTATAAAACTTACATCTTCACCGGTGCAACTCCAGCAATGATGGTCTCAGTGGAAGTGGTCTCGGAGTAGCTCAAGTCAGGGTACATGCCACATCTACACATATATACAAAAAGAAAACAATTGACATTATTAGTAAAAAGACTAATAATTAAGAATTATAGAGATTGATGATCATATATATGCTGGTTAGGGGAATAGAAGAATTACTTGCAGCCACTACCGCACTTGCAGTCACTACCACAGCTGCAATTGCAAGACATTTTCTTCAAGAGTTGGCAAAAGGACAAGGAGAAGAGTGCTGTTGTGCTGGGAATTGAATTCACTCAAAGCCTCGGATGATTTTTCTTGTGAGGGTCTGAAATGCTATTTATAGTACCGGTGAAGGTTGAAGTGGTTGAGATCCACCGTACACGTGGATCATTCCTAGATGTCTATATATGCGGGATTGTTATAGTTTACAGAGATTACTGGCCCTAGCCAACCATCCACAATTCATATTTGTAGGAATTTTTTTTTTTTGGTGTAACTAGATCATTGACACGTGGTATCGATGTCATTAACATTTATGTTTGAATGGTAACACATTTATACTTTAGAGATCCTTACTGTTTTTTACTATGTCTAAATGTCACAGTATAAAGTAATTATCAAACACTAACTTAACTTAAACTCTTAGCAAAGATATCGATCATTTGTTCTATTCACTCTATTTGTACTATTATTACAGAAAAGTTTAGCTGAGTTCAAATTTTATAGATAATAATTGTAGAATCAAACAAAAAATAAAAAAAATAAAAAAAATAAAAAAACTTCAAAGATGCTGTTCAAAACATAAGTACAGCATCAATGTTTAAAATAGAAACTTAAGGATCTTATTTCTTATCACTCATGTACACCACTCAAATTTAATTCCATCAACTTGTTATTTGCGAGGAGTTCTTTCATTTTATTTATTTATAAATAATAATAGTCCCATCTTTCGGTCTTCTCCGCAGGACAAAGCGCATTTGCGTCCACAAGTGGTCGTCTTTTACTAAAGGGTACAAAACCTTTAGTTTTTGGTTTTTTTTTTCTTTTTTTTTTCTCCTTTTTTGACCTTTTGTTATGAACAAGAGTTATTGATTGTTTTTTAATGACCAATATTATCTACACTAAAGGGAAAGGAGATGAGCTTAACCTCACAATAAATTAGCAATAATGTAATTCAAATTCGCATTTGACGAGAATCGAATATATGACCTTTCACTTACAAGTAAAGAATAATTCTAATAGACCATACTACTAAGTAGCACCAGAGTTATTGATTTTAATTTGGATAAACTTCAGTAAGTGATTTTATGAATCCGTTTGATAATTTTTGGTTTTTAGTTTTTAGGGGCTTTTAGATCCAGGTCCAAAAACATAGAGTGTTTTTAGGAATGAGTCCAGTTATCTAATTATCTGTTTTTATTTCTTTTATACTCATTTTATATTTTCTAAAAATATTAAAAATCAATTAAAATCTTCTAATATTATGCATTTTCCAACTCCAAAAAAATATATTTAATATCTTATAACAAAAAAAAACTAATATACTAACATAAATTTATCTGCAAAACATTCTACCCTAACTCAAGTAACAAATATATGAATGTATATAATACCTATACGTGAGATATGAAAACTAATTAAAAGGTAGAAAAAACATAACATACCTACAAGCAAGACACATTAATCTGTGACATGTTGATTATAAAAAAAGAATCTGTCATATAGGTAGATAAATATAATTAATCTGTAATATAGGTTGATTATAAAAATTAAAAATAAAATCTATAAATGGGGTTTAAAGCAGGAGGAAGAACGAGAAATAACAAAAAGATAAATAAAAAGAAATAAGCAAAGAGATAATTGGGAAGAAATTTGATTTTTATAATAAATCTTATCATTGAACAGATAACTATTGATAATTAAATAATTAAATATAACAAATTGGACTTATTTTAATAAACTGGACTATTCCTACTATTGGCTCAAAAAATTGGACTTATATCAAGTTTCCCCTAGTTTTTAATTATGGTGTTTGGGAGTTAGAGAGTTAGGGAGAGAGAGAAAAGAGTGGTGAAGAGAAGAGAAATAAAGGACAATTTGACTAAAAATAAAATCTTAAAAGTGAGAATAACTTAAAATAAATTTTAATTTTAATTTTGTGTTTCTTTTCTTGTGTTCTTATACATTTCTTGAACGTATCTTTCACCATCATTTTTTAACTCATAGCTAACAAAAATAAATAAAATCTGAAAAACTAAAAACAAAAAAAATTAAATGGTTATGAAACAAATCCCAAGCTATTAGATTTTATGACTTATTTTTTTGTTAGAAAACAAACGTGAATGGATATTGAATCTTGAAGCTCTTCTCAAGTCAACTAACATAGTCCTTGTTGAATCATGACTTATATAAATAATAATCCATAGATATATCAGTCCTTGATTCCTGGGATAGATCACGACCAAAACATCCATGAATAATTGACAAAGTGGTCATTCTCTGTGGGTAAAATTCTAAGAGCAAGACAATGTAATTTTTGTGTGTGGATAAATTAAACAATTGTCAGTTGTAAATAACGCTAATTGTCCTAACTTTTCGTTTGGTTAATTGTCCTAAGTATTGTTCATGGCATCTTATTAAGAAGGAATACAGCCTGCTGCTTAACAGACAAATCAAACGTACACGTCAAGGTGAAGAAAGAAACACATTTCAAATGTTCTTGTCTGGGTACCTTAATTAATTAGTGTCGAATAGTTTCTTACAGAAAAATAAAAATGGTGGCCCTTTGGAATCTAGCCCTCCATGATCTCGTAAAGTTTATACACTCTAGCCTATAAAAGGTTTCAAATAGTGCATATGTTACAACTTCATCACTAAAAAAAACTATCACATCTAACGTAATGATAGAGATAGACGCATGAATGTATATAATCGGCCATGTCTAAGAATATCTTATCATAATTTTAGAGGTGTTAATTAGCTGATGATCCAGTTGTTATCCTCTTGAGGATGAAGCTTATTCAGATTTTAGAAAATTAAACTAAGAGTTACAAAGTTAAGCAAACAAAAGAGTTGCCACCTTTATCTGATCAATTTATATCACAATATAATTGCGTTTCTTTTGTAAGTGATTGAAGACCTGGTCCAATTACCGTCGCATTGAAAAAAAATAAAAAGATATGGATCGCGATCAACAGTACTTGTGCTGGTGTCATGCATGCATACTGAGTACTTTGTGCTTAATTTAATAAATTAATGGATAATACTGATATATTGGAGGTCTCAGCTGTTCATACTAAGTATTAACTACGTATAGTTTGATCTCTCATTTGCAAACCTAAACAATCATCAGTGTGATGAACTCAACCAAAAAAAAAAAACACCAGAACAAACACTTTTAATTAAGAGTAACATACAACGGTAGCCATGCACGAAGCAAATCCCAAGCCCAACTAGTGTAGGAGATCATGGATTTGCAGGTAAAATGGCAATCTTATTTTACATTAAGTTTTAAAACCCAACTGAACAATTCAACTTTCACAGTCCTTTTCTTATTTATATAGACCCCATGCAGGACAGCTCTTCTTGACTTTTGACCTCGGCTTGCTTTGATCATTTGTTGCAGCTGCATGAGCTGCAGCTGCAGTTCGAGCCACACTTGCAGTCATTCTCTGCTCCATAATTCATCTCAGACCCCTCAGAGAACCTGCAATAATAATAATAATCAGCTTAATTCAATTAATCAATCTATTTTCAGCATACAATTCATAAAATTAAAACAATGTTTGAAGATTTTATCAAAGAGCAATATGGACAAATAGAACTAGAGGGACACTAAGTAAACAACATGCAGTACATGCCGCATTATTGTCTGTTTAGTGTCATTGTAATTCCAAACTATTATAAAAAAAATTGTAATCAGTTTTATTCTAGGTATATTTCTCTTATAAAAACTTACGTCTTCACTGGTGCAACCCCAGCAATGATGGTAGTGGAAGTGGTCTCTGAGTAACCCAAGTCAGCGTGCATCCCACATCTACATATATAAAACGATATTATTGGAAAATACAAACAAAGTAATTAATTCCTAATTAAGACTATTAGGAATAATAGAGAATGATGATCGATCATATATACGGTTAGGGTTACAGTACTTGCAGCCACTGCCGCACTTGCAGTCACTTCCACAGCTACAATTGCTAGACATTTTCTTCAAAAGTTGGTATAAGGACAACGGAGAAGATTGTTGTAGTGCTGGGAATTGAATTAACTCAAAGCCTGGGATGAGTTTTCTTGTGAGGGTCTCAACTGCTATTTATAGTAGTGCAGGTGAAGGTGTACACGCCGATCAAGTGTAGATATCTATGCTGATTAATAAAGTTTATAGACATCACATTGCTCTGTCGAAAAATCCAAATCCCATGAAATTAAAAAATAAAAATAAAAAAAATAGTGTGACTGACGTCACATAATGATATTAACATTGTGTTATTATATGACGGGGTAGGAGGTTTGTATTTTTTAGTTCTTGCTTGTATTCGAACAAAAAAAGAAAAAAGACCTTGCTTGTTTTTTATGTGCTAATTTAATGTTTATAGCAAAAATGTTCAGTTAGGCCAGCTGGTCTAACACTGTGTCCATTTACTTGTACTCAAATTTGAATCTTTTCTTTGTACATACTAGAATAATTTAGAAAACTACTTTGTTAATATGAAAAAAGTTAAACTTGTTTCATCATAAAATCAATAGTTGGGTGACGTAAAACCCATGTGAAGTGAAGATCCACTTGCACTAAAGTTGAATAATCTCTTTGTGCATATTAGAATAGTTTAAAATACTATGAAGAAAGTAGTATTGTTTTTTTTTTTTTAACAAATGGCATTATGTACACTCAAGGGGATGGGAAAGGCTAAGCCTCACAATGGGCTAGCAATAATGTGATTCAATTTCACCTTGGCGCGATAATCGAATTTAAGACCTCTCACTTACAAGTGAAGAAGAATACCACTAAACCGTAGTACTAAGTGGGGAAGAAAGTAGTATTCTAAACTCAATAGTTTAGAATACTATTTTGTTAATATGAAAAAAGTTAAAATTTCACCATCAAATCAACAGTTGGGGGGTGGCGTAAAAAACCCGTGTGAAGACCCTCTTGCACTAATGTTGAATCATCTCTATGTGCATATTAGAATAGTATAAAATACTACGCTGGAAGTTAAAGTTCTATCACCAATTGACAAAATAGGAAGTAGTTCAAATTCTTATAAGCACATGCTAAGTTCTTTTTGTTTTCAATGTGAGATTTATATTTATCAGAATTGAGTAAGATATTAAAATCACATCCACTTCATCTCAACTCTTGATATCAAATCCAAAGGCAAGTCACCGTGAATTTCTTGATCATCAAGTGACCAAGAGAACATTTGTGGGTACATGTATACTTCTATCAAATTATATTATAAGTATGGTCATACTTCTCTTTAATTGTTTTTTTTATATATTAATTCTTTAAAACCATACTTTAATTCTTCGTAACAACATATAGCATAATAACACTCAATCTCTATGTGTATGCATCAAGTGGTTCCTTTTCTTATGAACCAGAGTTATCGATTTTAGTTTGGCAAAAACTTATTTAGATGAAGCCCAGTTGTTGGATCAAAAGAAAAAAAAAATATGAAGCAAAGTTGTCCTAAATGATTAGATTCCATAGCTTAAAATTTTGTTGCAAGATAAAAAGGAATTGAAATTGAATCATGAAGCTCCCCTCAAGTCAACGGGGGTGAGACTACAATATTCTTGAAAGTTCCTAATCCAATCCTTAATTTCTATGATGGACCAAACATACATGAATTGACAAAGTGGTCATTTTCTGTAGGTAAATTTCTAGAAGCAAAATAATGTAATTGTTTTCTTTTGACCACTATTAGTTGAATCAAATAAAATGTACACATCAAAGTGACATATTTAAAATGTTCTCTTCTGGGTCCCTTAATTAATCTGTATCAAATATTTTTCACATAGACAAATAAACTTGGTGGCCCCTTGGAAATTTGGAATCCAACCCACCATCGATTTAATTGTTATCTTATACTCTAATATCAAGGATGGTCGATGCTACCAAAGACAGTCTAAAAAGGACTTCAAATCATTTTATATGATGCAATTTTGTCACAAAGCCTTCCAACCAATCAAATTAAAGTTGATAACGTGTTGGGGAAAGTTGTCTCATCAGATTATTGGCGCGATTCGGCTATTTTATTCTTACCAAGAAAAAAACTTTTTTTTTTTTAATGAGAAATATGTTGATTGTTTGTTTTTACATAATAATACTATTAACACGTCATTATTTATGTATTATCCGTAAGTTAAACACATGAATCATTCATACTATAAAACGCATAAACACATATAAACTTTAGACTTAAGTTACGAAAGAAATCTGACAATGATATCCTAATAAAAATATCCAACTCAAAATCAATCAACAATAATTAAGAGTATATCCATATGGCCAAATCCATGCCGTTTTTCGAAAAGCCTACTTTTTTTTTTCTTTCTCGTTTCCCTCTTTCATAACGCTCCAAGTCTCTCACCTGCAAATTTTCAGTTCCAGTGGGATGTGTTATTTAGAAATCCAATTATAAAAATAAACCTGTACTTGTGTGGATAGATTTTGCTCCTAATTAGGTGTATCGTTGTTAAATTTATGAGTTTGGACATAGTAGGGAGTCGGGGCGGAATAACGTTTCAAGGACTCAATTAGGTGTCGAAGGTCAGGGTTGCAAACGAGCCAACACCAAATATTACGGTGATCAACCTTGACTTGTCCAGTTTGTAAGATTGTAAACGAACCAAGTCAAACTAAATACCACTGGTGGCACTGAAGCTTGACTTGTCCAATTTTTCTCAAACTCGAGCTGGATTCTTTGGCGTGCTTCTCATACGATCCAAGCTCGAGTGAGTTCAAAAGATTTGCTGCTTGACAACGCACTTTAATGACAGAATATATAAAATCTAAAAAAGCAAAACAGGGATCACCAACATAAATTGCTTTTTCTTTTTACATGGATGGACCTAATCGGAGGCTCACACCACTACGGTTGTGATTTGTCTTTGAGGAAAAAATCAAATTGAAGATAGTCAGCCTAAACATTATCTTTCATTTCAACTAAACTTCTTGTATAGATTCTAGCTCAAGTTATCTCATAAAAAAATATGAGTAGCTCTCGAGCTTTACAAGCTGAACATACTCATATCCAAACTAGGCCTGATTTGGCTTGTTTCTTTCATGAGCCGAATTTATTGCAAACTCGAGCTGTTTCGAGCCAATTGACAACCCTACAGCATAACGCTGAGTTTCATTTGCTGATATGGGATAATACTCTCAGCACTCGAGTTGCAAAATCTTTGTCCACCTTCAGGAGAAAAAGACACCCCCATTCCTTCATTCCTCCATTCCTCCATTTTTGTTTTGTGTGTTTGATTATTTTAAACGTTATAACAAATGGACATGGTGAAGATTAATCCCACATTAGAGTCTTTTCTACTTATCGTTGCTTAGACACTAATTCATGAATTATACTTTGACAACTTGCACATTCACATCAACATGGTTTGTGGGGAGTGAGATTGAAACACTTACTTTTAGTCTAAGTTTCATTTGTAATTTTTGTTTTGCATAAAGTAAAGTTAGTTTGTGTTATAAAGTAATAATTGTCTCACCCGAGACTTTCCCCGGCAACGGCGCCAGTTTCTTGATAGAGATTTTACCACACATGCAAACGGGTTAAAAACTCCTATATTACTTGCAAGAATGACAAGGTTGTTGTAGTATAAACGGTTCTCGCAAGGTCGTTCTCCACAGGGATTATTAAATAATTCAAAACAAACCTAATTCCAATTAATTATTGTAAAGCAGAAAGTTGAGATGATTGGTTTTATAATCTACTTAAATTAAAACGAATTTAATTAATAAAAATAAACTAATTTGCAATATTAAAGATGAAGGGAAAAGAAAAATGTTTTGGATAAATCAAATTAAGAAAACACTAGGGTTCCACCATCACCTTGCAATCCTATGTATTTTTACCAATTAATTATGATCTATACATGCCACTTTGAAGGTTAGGTTTTCCTAATTTATATTCTACTTGGAACCTCCAACATAGAACGTATATCTAACATGCAACCCGTCCGGACGTTCGGATCAAATCTGAACATGAGAGACTCATTATGCTTTATGAAAACCCTTTGAAAAACCATGCAACCCTTAAGATGTGGTGTTCATCTTAAGTGAAATTACAATTATTAATCACAAGAAGCCAGCATCAATTTCAGGGAACCTTCCGACCAAAATTGCATCAAATTACTTTTCTAAAGATCCTAATGGTGATCAGGCATTAAGACAATTAGATAGTTTTAATCACTGTGATCAATAATTCAAAGTATGCATGCAATCAATCATAAGCAATTAAATAAAAATCACATATTCATGCTAAGGCTTACGGCTTCACCCTAGCAATGAAATTAGTTACGCATATTCATAATTGAAATCATAGAATATATTATTAAGAATAAAAGGAATGAAAACACCTTAAAGTAGAAAATCTCCAAGAACCCTAGCCAAGTTCTCTGTCTCCCCAAAATTGCATAAAAGAAAAGCCTCTCCACTTGGAACGGCCAAGCCCTTTTTTATTTTCCCTACAGCTCACACACAAACCCTAACCCTCAAGTCTTTTATTCCCACTAAGAAACTAAATAATAATAAAATAAAATAGAAAATAAATTCCTAATTAACCTAGGAAAAACTGCACAGAAACTGTTCAGCCACGTTTTAGCCTCAAATCTCCTCCAAATCCGGCCCAAAATAGCTTGTTTTAAAGATAAGAACATTCTGAACACATCTCCAGAAGGCCACAAACCCATCCGAGGTCATCTTGGGCCCCAAAAACGCAATTTAAGCCCAACACGTCACTATTCCAGCACTGCGCATGGCTCCTTTATTTTATTGCCAAAAAAATCATCGTTTGGTAGAAAAAACTGATATTTTGACAGGATCAAGCTAAGTGACTCACGAACGTTCTCCAATTGGAATTACTCCAAAATTCGTCCATTTGACCATGTTTTGCTCCAGAGGAAGTCGAAAATCCTATATTGGAAATATAATTCAAAGTATCAAAATTCTTCCAAATTATTAACCAAAATATACTAAGAATAGGATTAAATATATAATATAAAATATACTCATCAATACTCTCAGCACTCGAGTTGCAAAATCTTTGTCCATCTTCAGGAGAAAAAGACACCCCCATTCCTTCATTCCTCCATTCCTCCATTTTTGTTTTGTGTGTTTGATTTACTTTCTTGTAGTTTAGATCCGGCCCCTCACATGTGCTGTGATTTACTTTCTTGTAGTTTAGATCCGGCCCCTCCAATGTGCTGTGGAGTAGAAACAGAAAAAGATGTTGCGAGAAGGAGACTGCCTCCTCCAATTATTGATCTTCCATTACAAAGGGTGGGGCTTGAAGGGCTTCTATCCCCTCATTGTGAAGCCAGCCAGCTATAATTGTGACTCCCAAAAGTGAGATGATATTCTCTTCAAATATCTTCACCTCAGATGTCCTTTTCTTTTCATTTTTTTATGATCAAAGGTTCTCCATTTGCCTTTTCTTCTCTTTTCTTTGGAAAAGAGAAAGAAAGAAGTTCTCTAAAGTTATTCTAACTCGATATATCTTATGGATTATCAAATATTAAACTTGGTAGTATAGAATTGTCACTTTTATGGCGTGAAGACAACCTCTCCAATTATGAAAAACACCAGATATGGACTCTCAAAATTGGAGAGAAACTTACATGAAACAGGTTTACTATCAGGTAGCGTCCCAATCAAATAATACATTACCATATGAAAAATATAAAAAATAAAAAATATAAAAAACCCCTTATATGGCAATCGTTGAAGGAAAGCCATATTGACGGTGAACCCGATGGATGAATGGTTGAAAAGGAAAGAATAAACTGCCCTATACCCTCCCGGACAATCACGTGAATGCCAATTTCTATTATGAACTATTTTTTCAACCAATTTACCTCTTGAACTATGTTAAAGTGGCCAATTTCTCCTTATTCACACTCTTGTTATTTAAATTATTTGATTTTTCCTTGATTTATTCAATTCAAAAGCCAACCAAAAATTAACCAAGAGAGAGAACATGGTGAGCGGAAATCATTTCCATCGTTAAAATGTGACAAGATTCCATTAGTCAATGCACTACTCAATGAGGTGCAATAATCGAAACCATCTAATTTTTGGATCTTCGTTTAAATATTTTTTTTTTCCTTCACAAAAGTCATTGAAATCCAAAATCGTTGGCCATTTGATTATCATCGTGAACATTTGGTTCTTTTAGAGAAACATTGTGTTCATTTCCCTTTATATTCTTGTTTGATGACCAAGTGATTTGAGATCTCTTGAACCGAAGGCTTTAATTTCAACTTTAGCGATAGAATATGGGACATAGAGACACGCGAAAGACAAAAAGTCCATCCGATACAAAAGCTGACGGTCATGGGTACCCACTTCTTGCAAAGATTTCAGGGCAGCGATTATGTGATCCAATTTTTAAGACCATTTTGCATGCAATTGCCTCCTTTTATGACCCCAATCAACCTCTAGATTTGGAGAAGTCTTCCCGCGTGACGTGGTATTACCAATCTACTCAAGTTATTTGTTAATACTACATCCTAGGTTGATGATATATCAATCACGTCATTCATCCATACTGTAATACATAAATTAGTAACAAGATTGAGGTGTGACCGACGCACCAAAGAATTTCTCCTGCATTTCGTGTCATGACCTATTTGCTATTTTGTGTGTGGAGGAAGCCAGGCCCAAGGACTGATAGAATTCAAATAGCCACCTCTTTCAAAGTTGATTGCTTTTCAATGGTTTTCAAGCTCTGCATAATGTGTCAGCCTGAGTTTGATACCACTATAGAAGTTACATCATGTGATCAACTCAAACATACTGAATTCTATCTGAGAAAAAAAGGGAAAATGAAAATCAGGGGATGAGTCTGACCACCACTAACCTGTAAACCCTAAACCCTAACATAACGCGTCTGAGTTCAGACCACCGAAGAAAAATCAACCGTTAATATTTGAAATTTTGTTTTCGGTTGCAATATATACATAGATATGTATACTGAACAAACCAGACACGAAATGATTGTCCTGCAGAAGTTCTTCTAAACGGAGTATGATTCTAGTGTGCAAAACTTATTATGGATACTGCAAAACAAAGTAAATCTAATACTGAAACTCGACATCCAACAAATCATTTTTTGTTGAAGAAGTATCACTAACCTTTTAATCAACCGTAATTTTATCTAAAACGAGTCTGTCTGATGTTTCACCATTCACAAGCTTCTTAAGAGCCAGTTTTACCTCTGGCACTCCTTCCTCCAGAACAGCACAGACGGGGAATATAGAAACATCTTGCACCCGTCTTTTCAATTCTTCGTACACTTCTTCAGCACCGTCCTCATCTATTTTATTTGCCACTATCAAGGACGGTCGATTAGATAAACCCTCTAGATGATGCTCGAGCTCTAAAACTAAATCCCGAAGTTGTTCCCAAGGTGGCGTTCCAATTCTACCATCCAATCCAGAAGCCAAGTCTACCACATAAGCTAGAACTTTTGTGCGTTCTATGTGTCGCAGGAATGCATGTCCAAGTCCACGATTCTCATGGGCGCCCTTTATGAGTCCAGGAACATCAGCAACTGTGAGCGAGAAGTCCTCAAAGTTTAGATTCCCCAAATTGGGTCTAAGAGTTGTGAAGGCATAATGTCCCACTGCAGGTTTTGCCCTCGATATAGCCCCTAACAGAGTGCTTTTACCAGCATTTGGCATTCCGACTAGGCTCACATCAGCAATGCTCTTCAGCTCTAGTATAAGAACAGCTTCAGAACCAGGCAAACCCACACGAAGGGACGACTCCTCATCATCAAATACTTTCACAGAGGACACATTGCCCATACCACCTTCCCCTCCACAAGCAATAATTACTCGTTGACCTTGTACAGTTAATTCAGCAACATTGTACTGAATTTGATCTTTTTTCTCTGTCTCATCTTCTGAGCAACTCTCAGAAGAAGATGACGCTTGAGAATCAGTTGATCCCATTTGCGTAGTTCCCTTCATATCAGCTGATTCCTCAACAGTTCTGTCAGGTTGAGAGGATGAGCTATCACTATCCTCTGCCGTAGTTAGGCCGGTAAGCGTAGAGTGCTGATCGGATTCAGTTACATCACCAATAGGAGTACCTGGAATTTCCCATGGATCCAAATCTTTAGGAATTTGTCTTTCAGCAACACAAGGAGTTTCACCCTGCAAAAGATGAATCACGGTACCAATGGGCACTTGGGCAACCTACGAAAGTAAAAGATTTTGACAGTAAATCTCAGCTTTCTAATTTGAGTACCTAGCATACGAAAAACTACAGGATACAATCATGCAGGTAACGACAATTGCTAAACACAACTATACCTTATCTGCTCCTCTGGTGCCAATTTTGTTCTTTGAGGATCCATGTCCCCCTCTCTGTGCAATCTGCAGAACAACATTACTTCAATGCAATTTTATCAACAATGGTACATGTTGAGAAAGAAGAAAGATAAGAGTTACATACAAGGTGAGGTTGCAAACCGCTGAAGTCCCAACAAGTTGGAGAACATTCCAAAATAACATCACCACCTCTTCCACCATTCCCACCTACATTAGCTCCAAGGTTAGAAGGAAATTGCAGAAATGCCACAACAGAAGTTCTCATAATTTCCAAAAAGAAAAATCTTTAAATTGTTGATGTAGATTGAATTGAATTAAATATATAACATGCTGCTCAGTCAAAAGATGAATATAGACATTGAACTACAATAGAAAACCTACCATCAGGTCTGCCGCGGCGATCATGTCGACTGCGGCGAGTGCTGGTGCAACCACTGCCACCACCACCCCCTTTAGCATAAAGCCTAAACCTGTCTACCATTCTCCTTTCCTACAAAGAAAGAATGAACAATCCCAAATATTCGAAGATACATTGGTTTAGAAAAGAACTATCAATAAATAAAAAAGGGCAAGCATAAGGACTGATGAAAAACAGAAGTGGATAACTAGCAACCTGCAGAGGAGCAAGCTTTGATCTTTTGTGGGGAGCATCTGAGTATGAACACGAAAACAAAGATATCCATGGAGACTTGGAAGAATGTCTCAAAGTCTTTATGTGCTGAAGCGATTTTGGAAGGTGCCCCCACATCTGTCTTCGTATTCTTATCCCTCAAAACTCTTCTTATGCCTTAATGTAAACCTATCGCAAACCACCTATCACCTTGCCAACATGTGACGCTAGAGACCTAGAAAAAGAAAACGGCATACGATGGTAACAGTGAGAAAGATGATCCCTTTATATTCTTTCATTGCATTCAATTCATTCAAATGGGTCTTCAAACAGACAAACGAACATTAACACATCTATCACAGGAAATTTGTCTAAAAATGTACCACCTCGACCTCACTCCTTTTCTTCTTATCTTTTATATTCAAATTACATAGGTGCAACTGATGCGTGTGAGCACTCGGATTACACACAATTAATCAAATCCTTTAATCCGATAGCGTTCCAACAAACAATCTTGGTTAATGCACTAGCCTTGATTCCCGAATTGAAATACTTATATGCATTACTGCAATTGCATTCACCAGAATCCTCACCAAACTTCAAACTTGTCACGTGTTTTAATCCGAATAGCTGACGAAAGGCCACCCTTTATGCATCTATGCGATCCACAAATTCTTACTGCTTAAAACTACAAGCAGCAAAAAGCTGTATAGTAATAGAGATGCAAGAAATGAAACACTACGGAGAAAAATGTCCTATAAATTACCGGTATGTACAGAAATTTGAATAAAGATGAACAATTTACATATTGCAACCAAATTAACAGGATTTAAGTTTAACCCACAATTCTTAAACCCCATGCGCACTAGGGTTTAAGGAAAATAATCTGAAAACCCAAAAGAAACAGAATCAAATAAATGTTAGCAAAAACACTGAACCCACAAAAATGTGCTTATTGGATATAGAAACCAATCATCAAACACTACCAATGGAATTAGAGAGGAGAAGAATCAGGGAGAATTACTCACATGGTTCTGCGTCGCTGTTGGATTAGGGATTGGAGGAGGTTTGATGCTTTGTAACTTGCGACTTTCCGGAGAGAGAAAGTGAGCTGAGATGAAGGTTTGAAATCGAAGGACTTGCAAACGAGAAGGAGAGGAAATTAAGAAGGTTGCGGAAATGAGGGACAGCACAGCTGCACAAGAGCAAGAAGCAGAGCCTGCAAATGGTGTGGTTTTGTGGGCTGGGATTATGATTGATGGGCCTATGATTTAGCCAACTAAATATATATCCAACGTTATTCATTGTGAACATACGTTTTAGATTTTAGTTTTAAGGAAATTTCTCCCGAACAAGTTTTTTCACGAGTAAACAGTTGAGATTTAGTAAATATCAACAGTTATCTTTTTTCCTTTAGAGCAAGTAAGCAAAGCTTCTATCCTGCACATGTTTTTTCACAAGTAAACGATTCAAATTTAATATCAACCGTTATCTTTTGTCCTTTAGGACAGATAAGCAAAGCTTTTTAGTTTTCGTACAGGGTTGACACTCTAAAAGGGCCATTTTGCAGTCATTTAGTTTTATTGAAATAAATTAAGGCGAAACTAGAAAAAAATAAATTAAGGAGGAAGGAGCATAATGAATTTTCTTGAGTGCTAATGATAATTCTCTTAGTATTTAGAATTTGGTCAAATTAGGATTTTAGACTGTGTAGTTCGAGCAAAGTTTTGCTAATATTTTGTAACTTCAATTGTCGAGATTTAACCTTTATAGTTTTTTTTTTTTTTTTTTTTTGTGAGACTCGCCTGCATTAGAGAAGTTGTCAGCAATGTAATCAATAAATGTAACGTGATCCGTATAATAAATATAGAGCAAGCTATCATACTCCATTTTGTCAGAAGTTCTTATGATAGCTACAAATTTTTACACATAAATCTTTTACAATTACTGAAATTAAATACATACAAAAATTTATGTACAAGGCTAGCTAGCAGCTTGTGATTTGGCTTCAACAATATTAAGCACAAATAACTTCATCTAATAGTCCATCAAAGATCAATTCCTCAAGTTCAAGTGCCACACACTCAGTTTCCCATTGAAGGTTCATCCAACGATCGCCCTTTGCCAAATCTCGAGCCACAACATCATCCAGTGATTGATCCATCTCCGGCCTCAAGCTCAGGTACGAGCTAACTCTTGTCCAGACATCATCAAGAAGACGTTGCCCCTTGGGCATTGGACGGATGTTGCCACTGAAGTACAAGGCCCTTGGGAAGTAGGTGTATGACCTCTCATAGACCGCAAGGAGGGTCTCATTAACTAAATCAAATAGAAGACGGTGATCACAATTGCCGGATGTAAGCTGGTCTTCGTAGGATTCGGGTTCATGCTGAAAGCAATCCTCCAATTCCATGAACATCGTGGGATCCAGAGGCTGGTCTAGTGAGTACCATGCTCCGAGGTGCTCTTGACCAATGAAGCCTGAGAGCTCAAGAACATATCTCACGTAACTGAATTCGGAATCAGGATCATCCACTTTGTCCACTACAAAGCGCGAGGAGTGAGTGATTGAACTCTTATGTTCAATTTCAGTGCTTATAGAGGATTCCGATAACGAATCTATGATGTGCCTGCCTTGTAGGTCAAGAGAAGAATTCAGCTCATTCGCATGGGGACTTCCGGGATTTAACTCTGAACCTGATACATATTGTAACAACAATTGAATCAAATCATACATAGCACCAAAAAAATGCATTAGCACTTGATCATTCAGAGATAAATTCTGTTTAACATCGTAAAACATGCAATATTCGATATAATTGAAACTTAAGCAAATATTTTAAGACTTGTACTCATACATGTGCAATTACAAGGGTATTGTGATTTACCTTCAGAGATTGACAACATTGCATTGCTGGTTATATAGTCTGGGGGATCAAGATTAGAACTTTCCATCGGCTGTGCTTGCTCGCTTTCACGACTCATCGCAATAACCATCTCTTGCTCCTGGTGAGTTGTGCTCTCTCCTACTAATGGCACGACTGCATGCTCATCACTGTCCTTTATGTCAGCAATATTTGCACTGTCGTCACTTTCTAAAATAGCATCGCGTTGTTCAGACTTATCGGTAATTTGTTCCGCAGCTTTTGTAACCGGTATCCCTAAACGAAAAGCATCTTTAACCAATGCCCCGTTTAAGATGGAAGAAAAAGAGTCAAGATCAGTCAGTGATAGATTCCTTCTGGTGGTTTTCTGAGCATTCCCAGTTGAAGGAACTTTTTCTTCACTTTTCAACTTTAAGCTCTTCGAGTGATGCAAGTTTCTCTGATCACTGCTGTAGCTGCTCTCATACAACTGAGTATATCTACTAAGCGACTCATCTAGAGAGGAGGTTCTTCTTACACGTTGACGTCTTTGCCGCCCAAGATTATCATCTAAACCATGAACCTTGATTCCCTCTTGTGTCGTAGTTAACTCCAGCGTTTCAAGCACTTCTTTGCCATCACGTCCAGAAGGGTCTTTCCAGAAAAGAGACTCGATGGCATTGCCAGAATTTTCCTTCTTGCTCTCTTGGAGCGCATGCATTAGCTTCTGCGTTATATGTCTGAAACGATTTATGACCAATTGATTCCATCCTTGGTGACTAAATTCCTCAGGCAATCCCAAAGAAGAAAAGCTTGTTTCTTGTTGCATGGTACTGCCTACGCTGTTATTACCCTCCATGTAATGCTTGGACTTCATAGAATAGTCTTCCTGACTTTCGGATGTCATTGACTTCAGTGTCTGAGTAGTAGCAAGCAATTTTTCTCCTTTTGCGAAGGACCAAACTTCATTCTGCTTGTGTTTGAGTGTGCTAGGCCTCCTATTTCTCGCTCGAGAGGAATCAGTGAAGGGGAATGACCTTGATTTTGTTAATCTGACTTTGTTCTTGGAATTTTTCAGGCCTGGAAACTGGTTTGTACTAACTTCTGGATCTTGTAGAATTTTAAAGAAAAATTCCTTGTTTACTTTGAATAACTCCAAAATGTCAACATGATCAATAACTGTGTCACTGGAAACGTCCTTGAGAGGAAGTTCCCGTTTCATTGTATTCTTCGACATCTTCAAGTGCGATGAATCCTGCAATCCTCTAGGACTAGTGATACTGCCGTTTCTTGTTGTATCCAAACAATTTTCCGAAGGCTCTGCATCATGTACAACACTAGTCCTTCGCAACCATGACTGTACAGGGAAGCTTAAAATCCATCTTTTGGGGCTGTCTTCCCTTGGTTTGTCTTTTGAACTTGATGCTTTCTTGCGAGATTTACAAGACCTTTTCTTAGCTGTGCTAGTTTCTGTACTATGCTGTTTGACCTAGTACAATTACATTAAGATACAGTCAGCTTATGCTTCATTGCATGCAAGAGTAGTACTTCTGTGTTCTGTCGTGCGCTTCTGAATTCGGTATTTAATCAAAGAATGACATGAACTTACCAACAAAGATTCAGCTTCCGCAACTACCAACTCTGGCCTTTTACCAATTTCACGGTTCTCCGAAGTTGCTTTACGACTTCCATAATTGCCTGCAAGAAAGAGATTTGTCGCACTTAGCTCGTTTAAGTCAATCATTGAAATTCGAACATAAACAACCTTGTGTGCGGAAAGAGAACGATTTGCAAAGTGAAATCCTCACTGCACAAATTGAAAGTTGCTTGTTTTGAGCAAAATAGTATGCTTATATAGCACCAAAACAACCAAATCTAGAAATTGCACTACATAATCCACATGAGTTCTTGTTTAATTTGTCACTAGAAAAAAAAGCATCACACATGAACATAGGAGACTATGTGATAGGGTGAACTGAGATATCTTACGTCTGACTCGCTTTCCCCCCGCCCGCTTTCTGTGGGGAAGAATCTTCTTGACATTACTCCAATGATGGTAATCAAGGATGTTCATTAGGCTCCACATGCAGCCTGGACGGTTGCCCCCAACACTCGAGTCCAGGCGTTCCAACTGCTTTCCCATTTTTCAGCTCAAGGGGAAGCAAATAATCCTCAGAAATTCGATACCGAGTTGAGTATTAATCTCAAGATTCTCAACTATTTGGACCACTCCCTTGTAAAACCTAAAAAAACATAGAAGAAAAAACCACCATGTAAGCCACGTATACATCTAAAGGCCGGTTTGATAACCATTTCGATTTTATATTTTAGCTTCATTTTTCTCCAAAGCATAAACAACAAAAAAAAGACTAAAAACTAAAAACGAAACGGTTTTCAAACTGGGGTTTTTTAAGTGTTTGATCTTCAAGAACGTAAACTTCAGATGAAAATTCAGAGAGAACCGATATCAAACGGAATCTAAACAACATGGAAGGCATGTGTTCATACAGCTATTCAGATAATCTCAGAGCCTCTATTCAAAATTCAAAGGCGGGAGCAAACACCCAGTTCCATTTTCCATGCGGCAAAACAAAAAAGCTTGCAACTTTATCAAAGTTGATCAATTGATGTACTTTTGAGGTCCAAAAAACTTGAACCGAAAGCCGAAAAAAAGAAAAGAAAAACAACTTCAACTAATTAATGTTTGAACTAAACAACGCTTAGTATTTAAGATGGAAATTAAGCAAACTAAAACAACGCTTAGTATTTAATTTGGGAATTAAGCACACGAACCTTAAAAGTAACAGAAGCAGATGTGCGAACCTTGGGAGAAGCTTGGAACAGTTTGCAAATCTATGGTGGGCTTGGAATAAGCTTGGAATATATGTTGGTTTGTGTGTGGCGTATACGTTAAGAAAAACAAGAGTAGAAGAAGGTGGTTAGTCTTCCAGTAAAGAGACGACTCCGGAAAGAGAAGGAGGAATAGGTAACCTAAGCTGTTATTACCCGCCAAGAATCTCAGAACCATGGTCCTCTCTCTTTAGTCTAAATTATCAACCATATATATATATATATATATATATATATATATATTTTTTTTTTTTTTTTTTTTTTTATTTGAATAATACCGAGATTAGAACTTTGATGTAGAAGAAGCGTGCATTGTTCTAACCAATTTGAACAACTCTGTATGATTCATCAACTATATGGTATACAAATTTATTTAGGTATTTTTTATTACTGATTTATTGGATCAATTAGAGAGTTTAGGTGATGTGTGATTAGGTGTACTGATGTCTTGCAGTTGATGTTGGTTGAAATGTTGTTCAAAAGAAATAACGGCATAGACAAATGATATTCAATTACGTTATCATTAGACTTGAGAGAATACTCAATTTGAGACAATTGTATTGATCAACATGCTTACATTTCAACAGTTGAGACTGTTGAGAGTATCTCACATTAGAGATGGAAGTCTTGCATAAAGTGCTCACGAAATCTTAAGTTTCACCACACTTCACCAATTGGTTTTGCGTTCGAAGTTTAAATTCTAGTATGATATAAAATCATGTTATTCACGTATCAAACTCTCTTTTAGGCATTTATTTTGCGGTAAACTCTAATTGTATGATGGAAAAACATTCCTAGTGTTTGCAAACCAAAGACAAAAAGGATTGGCAATGATATCAAAGGCCAAACAACATCAAAACACATCTTTAACTCTGCCTTAAAAAGAAGAAAGGGGAGACATAGATACATTGAAAGTTCAAAGCCTCCATGAGTAAAGTTTTTCACTTGGTTCAATGAATAATTAAAGTAATTTTTGTATGACACTTGCAATTTTTGGCTCGTTCAAAGTCGTTGTAGGTCCTAGTAACCCAAGTTGCCCTTGATATTTCAAGATTCTATGCATCCGGTAGGCTGGAAAGGGATTGGTAGCTGCCAGTCAAAAGGATCTTTCATATAAAAAAACGTTTTTAATTATGTGTGTGCAAATATTTTGAATGAAATTTGTTATTTGCGCTTTAAAAATGTGACTATATAATTTTATGAAATTATCAAAAGAAAATAAAGCACTACTTGTGTTACGACTCAATACCGAAAAAATAACGTAATCTTGGAATGCTTTAAGATAGCTTTAATCACCCTTATCTTATAAGCCATTTTTTAGTAGCAAATTTTACCACGCAACTAATTCTAAGCGAGTGAGACCTCCTCAGAGAAAGGAAGGAGCTACCATCGGACTAACGTCAATAAAATAGGCCAACGAGAAAAAATACAACAAAAAACAATCTGTCAAACTGATTTATCTGTAGTAAAGAACTCTTTATATTCAACCACCCAAATATTTTCAAACAAAAATCACAGCAGCGTACGTATTCGTGTATCATTTGCACTTGCTATTTGGTTTTCTAGAAATTCTGAAAGTTGACTTGATTCAATCATCGATGCATGAAATTATCTCCGTGGGGTTAGAACTGAATTAGGTCAACAGAATTATGGATGTGGATCTTGCCCTTGACTTCAACTCCGTGGCTGAATATTCGTCTGATCACTTCAATAACACGTGTGAATCCTAGAAATCAACAATTTAATTAAGTAGTCTAAGAATAATTAATTAGATAGTCTAATTAAGGTGTCAACTTTGAACTGTGTCAACCAAAGAAAAAAAAGAAAGAAAAACTTATAGGGGCTTGGCCCAATTCTGCTCTAGCGGTTCAGTGGCTTTAGAATTTACAGGCCGGTCCTAATTTTATAATTTGATTCATTTTTCAACGTTTAGTTTTTCACTTGGGCAGGCAGGGTTTGATTCCGTTTTTTTTAAGACCGAAAATTAAACCAAAATTATTACTCAGTTTAATTTGGTTTGATTTTCTTTAGTATAGTTCGGTTAGGATTAATTTTGGTTTCATATTTTTTCCTAAATAATTAAAAAAAATGCTGGAAATTGGCTTTGCCCAGAAAAAGGAAAAAACAAAAAAACAAAAAAAAAGTGGAACGAGATTAAGAAATTGGCAGACCTTAGAGCATTTTTATTGAAAAACCCTATTTAGGGACTTCCACCGCTAATTTTGAAAACTCATTTAGGGACTTAAAGAGAATAGTCAGGTCCCTAAAAAAATATTATCTGCATCGGGAGGTCCTTATAGTATAATCCTTAAATATAGAGACTAAAATATCAACAACAAAATCATTGTTCATGTTGTTGGAGTATTATGGCCGTTGTTAAAAACAAAAAGCTATCTCTACTATTGGAAGAGAAAAATCAAAAAGATAAGCTGTTGTACAACATTCCCATAAAAAGAAGGCATTCTCACTTGGATTGGGTTGTTTCTCACTCAAAATCAACAGTAGGTCCACCCTTTAAGTCTCTATATACAATCCTTACATTTAATGATTACTCTGAGATATCCAGCGAGTCCCTATATGTTAAGATAATTGGAGGACTTCTATTTCGACCCATTAGATGCTTTTTGTCCTTATATTTAAGGACTATATGGTTGAAGAAACTCCATTTAAGATCCACATTAAAGATGCTCTTAAACCACGTCTCTAGCCTTACCTTAACTTCAACCATCTATAGAGTATAATCAAACAATCACCATCTGGGATTTGACGAGTTGTATGCTTACGACGGAGTTGTTTGCTGTCAAAGTTGGTTTGGAATTTTCAACCGATGAGAGTTTTGTTTTCCTTTAGTGATTGAGATTTGAGAGGCATAGCTTGGAGGAGCTTAATCCGTAAGTAAGACAGATAAGGAGGGGGTCGTACTCTTTTTATTTCTTTCATGATTTTTTACGCTGAGTTTTCTCCTCTAAAGCTTTTAATGTGGCCACTTTTAAGCTCTAAAAAAATCAGGCCATGTTGGGGGAAATTTGGCATCACTTGGCAACCTTATTAGCAGCTGTAAGATTCATCATATCATATGCAAGCTTTTGCTTTCTTTTATTTTTATTTTGGTTTTTTAGTTAAAATGAGTCATGAGATTGACATAACTCTTCATTTTAATTCCTGAAATTTGAAATCGATAAAAATTGTCATTGAGTTTATCCACCACCAATCATTTTTGTCATTCGATGAAAATTCTGTTAAATAAAGACCAAAATAACAAACTTAACTAAATTTAATAAACAATGGAGAAAAGTGATTTGGCAAAAATTGTGAGTATTTTTGTTATTTTATCTTTATTTAATGAAGCTTTTTCATAGAAGTACTAAAATGATTGATGATAGACAAATTCATTGGTCACTTCTATCGATTTTAAATTTTAAAGACAAAAATGAGGAGTTATACCAAGTTTGGGGACTATTTTACGTAAAAAATCTAAATACTTTATGCATGAAGCAACAAAAAATAAGAAAGGGATTCTCTCCGGATCCCTTCTACTAAATCCACACAATCACCTAATTCAGACTCTTGAAATTTAATCTAATGGTTAAAGTTATTATAATTTTTAAATAGGTCTCTATTTATAACTGTTAGATCAAATTTCAAAAATTCGAATTGATTGATTGGGTAAGCAGGTACGCCAGCAGCCTCTTTTGTCCCTCTTTAATTCTGATTTTAATTTCTTCCTCCTGAATCGTGCAGATATTGGGTCAAGTCCCCCGCTTCTCCTGTTGCTCTAACTCCGAGAACAAATGATTGATGTATAAAAAATTTAAAAAAAAAGCACATTGTCCCCCTTTTCAATCAATATTTCTTTCTTTGCATTCAAATTAATAAAAAGAAGAAAAATGATTTTGAATCTTTTTCTATATCGATTTTACAATTTACAAGTTTTCCTACTGTAAATTATAAATTTGAAATTTATAATTAAACAATTTTAATTGCAGCAATGATTCTTAAATATATACCCCATCCTCACTTTAGTCCCTTAATTCTATTTTTAAATTTTACAAGTTTCAAATGTTATCTCATGTCTCCGTTAAATCTTAGATCGTTAGATTGTTTCATTTTCTGTTTGATCTTTGTAACAACATTTTTAGACTTGTTTTTTCCCTTTATGTTTTGTCATACATTTTGAGTTTTTCGATGTTGCACGTTTTCTTATTCGAATGTGTTTTTGAGATACGATGAGTTCTTAGTTGGAGATTTACGAAGGAGAAAGATAAAAGATAGGGGTTTGTAGGGTGTAGAGAGGAATATTATCGTAATTTTCAAGCAATGTCCTCTTTGTCTTTTAATTACACAATCACAAATAAAAAATAAAAAATAAATTATGCGTAATGAAGAAAATTTAGATGGATAATGGTATTTAAATAGAAAAACTCGAGATCTTCTCAAATAAATCCACATTTGACACTTGGCCCTCACAAATTTGTGTAGTTAAAGACTATATCCTTATAATGCAAAAGACACTAAACACCAGACCCAAATCCTCACAAATTAAGTAACTAATTTAAGAAAGAGATGACTGTAATAGTGGAAAATTAAAAGATACAAATCAATATGATATTACAAATATGTTTAGAAGTACAATTAGAAGCGATACGAACACTTTCAAAATTTTAAAATAAAGCATTTGAAAGAAAAACTGAAAGTGCTTATGAAACCAAATTATTTTTTCAGCAATTTATATGTAGTTCTTTTTTTTTTTTGTCAATAGTTTATATATAGTCTAGGTGCTTTACTTCAAACATACACTTTAACTTTGAATATAAAAAATGAAACATAAGTAGAAGTGCGACATACAAAAATATAACCAAACAAATCAACTTGCGATTTCATTTGGAATTTGAACACCTTATTTTTCCCAACATTATGCTTAAGAGTTAGCGTCCCAATAATTGCATGCGTCGTGTGTGCGCCTTTTTCTTCATTCTTTTTCTTAAACAAACAATACATTAACGAATATGATCCAGATAATGTTATTCACACATTATTTTTATTTTTCACACATCTTAATTACTTTTTGTTTATTAATTTTTTTTAATTCATTTAATCTGACGATTAGAACTTAAAAAAAATATGGAGAGATAAAAGCGGGTATATAGATGACACCACCCATTTGATTTTCGATAGCAGCTTTGTTGTGAAATGCAGAACACCCATCTCA